CTGTCTTAGTCTGGAAGCTCTGCTGAAACCAGTTTTCCATGGGTGACCCTGCTGGTATTTGAAATACCAGTGGCAGAGCTTCCAGCATCACAGCAACATGCAAGCCACCACAGTATGACAAACTCACAGACGTGTGGTGGGTGAGTCCCTTAGGCATATAATTTAGTCTCCCTATGCCTCAATTTGCTCAGTTATAAAATGGGAATAAAAATATCCCCTCTGTCACAAGGCCGTTGTGAAGATAGTATAAGATAAACTTTCCAGTGCTCAGCTCAATGTCTGTTACATAGTAAATGCTCAATTAATTTTAGTTGTTATTGTTGATATTGGTATTAGCATTAGCATTATTAATAGTATGCCATAGTCATCATTTTCATTCCAAAAATACATTAACTTCAACAAATACCTAAAGCATCCTCTTAAAAAAATCAGGTGCAGACACTGGATCTTGGATTTTTTTAGGTATCCAACTGTTTGATCATGATGAAACAGTCAGGTACACACTCCCACCTGACTAATCATGGGACACCAGGCTCTGTGTTCTGTCCTTGTGGTGGCTTCGGTTATTTGAAGAGCTGTCTTGAAGTGCTGTTACTACCAGGAAGGAGCAAGATCCAGAGGTCATTGGCATTTCAATGCTGATGCGGCATGTGGCCACAGCTGCCATTTCTTGCATCAGAATAAGCCACTACTTTTTTTTGTCAGTTTCCTCATTTATGTCATTCATAGTAGATAGAAAGACCATAAAACAAATCATTGTAGATAACTTAGTTTGAATTTCATTTTCTGAGTACATACATCCATCTCTAAAATCTCATGGTATCAGCTCACACTTATCTTTCCCATGTGAGAAGGCATCGTATTTCAGCAGTTACTCATATACTTCTCAATTTTGCATTGAAGGGCAGGTTATATATTTATTTATTTATTAAAACAAATTAAAAACAGATATGCTTTTCAAGACGGCAAGCCGATCCAATTAGTCTGGAATTTAGAATGCAAAACAGGTAAATCCATTATTGTCAAAAATTGTACCACTTACATTTTTCGTAAATTTTCTTCGTCTTAAAATTGTAAAAGATTTCCAAGTCTACAGTGGCATCTTTTTTAAAGGACAATGTGTTGTGCTGGTGGTTGAAATCTAAACTTTTTTTTTTAAGATTGCTTCTATTTTTTATCTTGAAAAATTAAGAAACAAGTTAGGTCAAATCATATGAAATTTACATTTTTATAGATCAAAACTGTTGAATACCAGCAGTTTTATATGGTTTGGCATTATATAGAATAAAATGACGCCTATATTTTACTTCTTCTAATTAACAACTATTAACATTTTTGTCATAGATATTTCCATTCATTTAAAAAAAATTATTTTGGTAAAATACATATAATAAAAAATTGATCATTTTAACCACTTCCACTTGTTTTTAATGAAATAAACCATTACAGATCCAAGCTACTGTCCCTTTTATAAGCCCATCCCTGCCCCACGGCTCTTTTTCTCCCAGAGGAAGTATTGTCTTGAGTTGTCTGGGTATCTTTCTAGTCTTTTCACATATACATACCAAGATGCGGATCTATTTTTAGGAATGTATTTCCTACTCTTCAATTTTTCTTTAATCCTCGATTATCCTCTCCTCTATTGTAAAGGAGGAAAAAAAATCACTTTTGACCATCTTCCTCATGTAGATCCCCTTTTAACAAAATTTTATCCTTACTGTTTCCCTTTCTCTTCTTTCTGGAAATTTATGAAATTTATAAAATATCTTCATAAAAGATAAATCTCTCATTAAATTCAACAAAGTTCTCAAGAAAACTCAGAGAAGACAATAAACTCCTAACTCAATTGCCATAATGGCAGACTAGTCAAGCACAGACTACTCTGGGAAAATTAAAATTCTCGTTTTTCTTCTATCTTCAACACTCTCTTAATGCAACTTCTACATCCACCAAAAGGAAAATGCCTTCTTTTTAGATGCATCAATTCTCTTTTTGCTAGTGAGCCTCTGTCATGACACTTATAAAATAGTGTCATGGCCAAACACAGAACAAATGAAATGACCTATGAATGGGTGCTAGGAAGCATGGTGAGGTGAAATATGGACCAAATCAGAAAGGAAAAAATTCTCTTTCCCTCAGTTCTAACCAGAGTGGCAAATGACAGCAAAGACAGCGAAATAAGACTCTCAGAGTTGGGAAGAACACTGTGATTGACCCAGATTCCTCTAGTTGATCCTAAAGGTGTTGGAGCTCCTTTGTCAACTTTCTTGGTCCTAATATTCATTTATGTGAAGCCACCTCTCATTCAGCTTCTACTCCAGACTAAATAATTATAAATTCTTTGCCCTTTTCTCAATCAATGTCAAAGTTATAACATGCACAAGATTTGTAAAGCTTCATTGTCTATTCAAATCCTGAATTAATTTATGTACTCATATTTTGGATCTTAAGTGAAGCTAATTGCTATGATATTTTAATCAGGTAGTAAAATCCATTTTTGTGACTATGACGTATTCAAATGTTGGATAATTATATTCCAGTGTGTCTTCCCTCGTTGTTAGCTTGCTTTTCCTTAGTACATTTGTATTGCAGTCTTGCCTCACATTAATATGTGCGCTACAAGGGTATCATAATCACTTTTAGCAAAGAGAGATTCTGCGAAATATTTTTATGACTTCTCAATATGGCAAATTTCGGCATTAAAGTAAATCTGTCTGTCACAACAAATGTTTAATCTGGATTTTTATAATACTAATAGACATATGTTAGATTGTATTTATTTAAATAAATGCCAGTTTCACCAAAGGTTTGCAGTCATTGTGGAACAACTCAATATACTGATGGTCCAACATCTTCCCTGGCTGTTGGCTATTCTGTCTCATGGCTATAGTCACCACTGAGCATCCCTAAATAAAATATTCCTTCTTTCTTTTGCAGTTGATGGAGGCCAGAAAGGCCAAAGGAGGGACTAGTGGCTTAATATGCATTGACTGTCTGGAAACCTGAGCTGAATTTGATCCATAGTCACATACTAGGTCTTCAGTTTAATAATTACCCTCCCTGTATCCCTACCTCACTCACCTTCATTGAAGTTTCTCTAACCTTACTTTAATGTAAGTCATTCAAACTGTTTCAAAAAGTTGGCAGGTTATAGAAAATATACACGGGAAAAAATATATATACAAAGAATCAAATCCAATTTAAATAAAATATTAAAATAGACAGGACCCCAGAGGTTATCCAGACCAGTGCCGTACAACAGAAATATAATGGGTGCCATATATGTAATTGTAGATTTTCTAGTAGCCACACTGTACAAACGAAAAGCAACATGTAAAATTAATTTTAATCATATATTTTATTTAACCCAATACATCCAAAATATTGTCATTTCAATATGTAATGAATATAAAATACTAATGAGATAGTTTACTTTTTTTTCATACTAAGGCTCTGAAATGTGGCCCAGCCATGTTTCAAGTGCTCTATAGCCACATGTGCCCAAGGGCTGTCGTTCCAAACAGTGCCAATTTAGGCCACTTCCTTACTTTTATAAATGTAGAACCTGAGAGGACCATCTAGTCAGCGTCAGAGCAAGGTCTAGACCCAACATTCTGATTCCCAGTGCCGTGCTCTTTCAGCTCCGTCAGAGAGCAAGCCCGGTGGTAGAAGTCTCTCTGTGGATTCAACAAGGGTGTGAGCACTCCTTTAAGATAATAAAAATCAACTTTGGATGATCACCTACTGTATTCCAGACATTGTACTAGGCACTTTGTCCATTACTACTTAAAACAATCTTGCAGCATATTTTATCTCTATTTTCAGAATAAGATATCAAAGCTGAGAGATAATCAATTACTCAACAAGTAGCCAAGCTTAGATTGGAAACCAATTCTCCCTGGCTACATAGCATGGGCTCTTTTTCATACAGCCCAGTACCCCTTACCTCCAATTCAAGACCCTCTAAGGCTGCAAATCCAAGGGTGACCCAAGGACTGGCAGCATCCGTGTCACACTGGAAGCATGTTAGAAATGCAAATGCTGCACCAGACCTACTGAATCAGAATCTGCATTTTATCAAGGTTGCAGATAACTCAGATGAAATCTTAGCCATCTTAATAAAATACCAAATCTCTCTATGAATCAAATGAATTTCCCAGGAGAATAGCAGCTTCGTACCCTGTCAGACACGTAGCAGATTAAAAAACAAAAAACTTCATGGATTGAGTTGAAACAAGAGAAGAAAAGAGCTAGCTTGGACCTTTAAGGAATGATAAACAAGAACAGAATTTTTAGTTGAAAATAAATGTCCAGAACTCAAATCTTGAAATTATAAAATGCCTCATCTACTACCACAACCCTACCCCCTTCTCTCTTAATCTCCTCTGTTCTTCTTATCTCACCAAATACAGTGAGTGAGAGGGAAATGCTAATTCATTTATTGCAAATGTGTCAACTTTACAGTATGCAGGAAAAGTGGTGCAAGGGTAGTCTTGCCACACAAAAAAGGGATGAATCAGCCTAATAGAATTGTCAAGATGTAGTAGTTCATGGCAATTTGCAGCTCCCTGTGTCTGGCTGCAGAAGGCTCTGTCCGTTTCTTGAAATTGGGCTCTAGCTGAGATTATCTTGGTGTTCCTAAAAGTGGCTCCGCCATTGAGTCAACAGTTGATTATGATTCATCCTGAGCCTCTTCAGTCACATTTTCAGTATTTTCCTCATGTGCCATGATGCTCTCAGTGTTTCTTTTCATTCAGAATGAGGCAATTCATTAAGTAGGTGTTAACAGCTCCGGACATTTGGGGTAGAAAGTGAATAATGTGAGCAGCCTAGGTCCTCTCCAAAAGGTTGGAGCTTCATGAAGCCTGTTTAGTAAGGTGTCCTTCTTTCTTATTTCTTAACTCAGTGGGGCATTGCCAGCTATTTTTGTCCTTAGAAAACAACAGCAGGGTGATGAATGATAGCAGGGCTTCTAACCAATATTTCATCGTGTCATACAGGGCCCGCGCAAGCTGTGTGTTAAGGAGATGAACAGTGGCATGGAGAAAAAGCAGGCCTGGCTTATAAAGAACAAAATCAAGGCCTTTTATGCTGCAGTGGCGGCAGACTGTTTCCGAGATGGTGTCCGAAGTCTCCTTCAGGTACGGCTGACATTGAGGGAATGAGCACAAAGGCAAACGACAATTAGCACTCCATGTTAATGAAGCTCTGGAAGTGAATGGATCCAGTCAGGCAGCCTCCATCGGAGATCAGTGCAGATGGTTAAGGAGTTCATTTCAAGGTCCTGGGGATAGGCAAACCCAAGACAAAAGCAGAGAGGTTCTGTTAGGATGAACTAGGAATAATACACTGCAAATGGAAAATGAGGTTGCCTTTCGCCACCAGTATACATTCTGTCCCCATATTTATTGAAACGCAAATTTGTTCTGATGGTTGGTGACATTCAGGATCCTATTAAAGCTTCAAACTATTTTTGCATCTCATGCTGCATGTAGCAATGCTCAAGTCAGGCATTCTTTTCCTTTTTTTCTTTTGCAAATGGTGTGAGGGCAGCTGCTAGACTCAACTAAATAAATGCATGATGATCTGGGCGTAAAATCTCACTATCCGCCTAAATTATTTCCAGACTGTTGAATAAAATGTAATAAACTCTGTGGCTCAACACGAAAGCCCACAGTTCTCCCTCCCACTTTTTCCCCTTATTCTTTCCTTTCTCCTCCCCTTCCTTACCTCTTCTCTAGTTCTGATCTAGATTTAGAGAGCCAGAGAATCCTTAAAACAATCCAAGAGACCCTCAGAAATTATAGGGCTTGGCTTTCTAATCATTTTGGCTTTGATATGGTTGAAAAGCCCCGATTTCAAGTTTACCAAATCGTGCAATGAGTTTTCGGCTTTCAGAGTTGCCATATTCAGACCTGTCAGAATTCAGGACTGCATCCAGGTAACTCTGATGCTTATGCAGGCAGGAAAGAAAAATAATGATTAAACCATAGTATTTGGGAGATTAATAGTATTTGATGCATTCTTATGTCTAATATCCCTAAAGAATATCTGCAAAGTAGGTGCACATGCAGAAAAGCCATTTCTGAAAGACCTATTACCCCCAATGAGACTCTTTACATCTGTTACTAATTTGCTGCACTGTAGAAATGGATGTCTTGCAAGGTGCTGATTTTCTGTTAGTGGTGAGTTACATTTCTTTTCAGCAGCTCTTTGGTTAAATATGTTGGGAAGGTAGTGAGGCCCTGGGAGGCACAAACAGTTAAGCAGTTGACCACTAACCCAAAGGTTGGTAGTTTGAACCCACCCAGAGCTGCCTTGGAAGAAAGGCTTGGTGATCTGCTTCCGAAAGGTCACAGCTTTGAAAAGTCTATGGAACAATTCTATTCTGCACACATGAGTTTGCCATGAATTGACACCGACTTGACAGCAACTAATTTTTTTTTTTTTGTAAGTGTGTTATATTTCTTTTCTGTAGCTCAAATATTGGAAAAGTTACACATTTAATGTAAAATTATCACAGAAGATTTGTAAAATAATTAAATTTTCAGCTAGGCATCAGAAGACAGACATAGTACAGAAGTAGGGAGTGAAAAGGCATAGGTATGGAAAGAATTCTTGTATTAATCAAGAAGACATTATGAAAGATTTGATCATGCATAAAGCTTGTCGACGTGAATTTCTTCAAATAAAAATGATGAGTACAGAAAGGTCTTGATAAAAAGACAGAACAGAGTGATATTAAAGGAAAAAACTGCCAATTATACTATTTTGGATAAAGCTTTCTTTGCATCTGAGAAGCTATGGTACAAATAGCCACATCCCCAAACTGTGATCATGGAAAAGATGACATCTACATTGCTATACCTCCGCTGAGGGCCAAATGCAGCTCTATGGAGCTGTTCTGCTACCTGTACATTTCTAGGAGCAATACACCAAATGTGGTGAGGCAAAGTTTATTTCCCGAACCATCTGGCAGTCCTATCTCTTGCCACATACTACTGTCCTCTCTAAAATGTCCAATTCTGTTCATTTGTTTCCATCACCCAGAGTGCCCTTCCTTCACCCCAACTCTTCTCCGTATCTTTGCGTGTCAAAATCTGACCACCTCCAGGACCCAACACAAATGCCACATCTCCCAGGCAGTGGTCTATAAGTGCTCAGCTGGAATTCAAGTTTTCTCCCTTTGTGCTTCCATATGAGTTCCTGTTGCATTTGTACTTGTATTACGGTTATAGCTTATCTTCCTAACCTTACTCTAAATTCCTTAAGACCAACGTACACATTTCACTCCTCTCCCAGAGCACCTAACATTATGCAATTAATAGGTGCTCAATAACATTGCTGAATTAAATTTAATTAAGCGGAAGTTATAGCCTATCATCTAATGAAAGGAACAAAACTTCTGATATGGAAGATGGCTGTTAATGATACTGTCATGCAAGAGGATTAAGTCCTGGAAGCATAACCCAGTTAGTCTCCAATAAATAATACAAGTAGAGATTTCAGTGGTCCTTGTATATAAGAATTTTCTAAACATGGATTTTATTGCTAATGACATTATGGATATAACAGGTGAAAATGAGCTTTGAACCACTAAGTTACAACAGCTAAGCCAACCTTCACTTGATTTTAAATTATTGAACCATTCTAATGAGTGTGTCAGAAGAAATGCAAATGCCTACTAATTTAGAAAAGCTTCCTTTCTGTCATCTAAAATCCATTTATGGCTGAGATGATTTAGAACTAATCTTCCTATTTTATGCTTGGGTACAGGCATGAAGGACATGCAAGAAAATGTAATCTAATCTTCAGAACATTACTTACTTCAGTGCTCTTTTTCATTTGTGACGGTGTTTTCTGGGTATGGTAAGGATTGCCCATGTTTTTATGTCCTCTGTTTAGGCCTCAGGCTTGGGAAGAATGAAACCAAACACTCTGGTGATTGGCTATAAAAAAAACTGGAGGAAATCTCCCCTGACAGAGATCGAGAACTACGTGGGAATCATACAGTAAGTGGTTGCTTTCTTGTTTACAAACCACTCTCAGGCCAGTACATAACTGACCTGTTGTGCCAGATTAAATTGCCTGAGAAGGGCGCGTGCCTCTGTTACTCTGAATTCTTTACCAAAGTGAATAGAACACTGCCAATAATGGAACTTGCTGGAATCAGAGTGTTAGAGGAAGCGGGGTGGAGGAAATATCAAGGTCAAAGGAAAAAGTAAATAAAACAGTGAAGCCTGTTTATAAGACTAAAAGCAAGGACGGTTAGGTAAGAGGAGAATTTTCTTTTAAAACCACCTGGAGTCTTCGGTTGACTGGTGTACCCACCTCAGTCATTGTCTTCTTCTGGGCCTTGGATAAAGTGTCACTATCCCAGGACCTCCTAGCTCCCTCTGTGATATGGGAACCCCACGTGCCAGATGCCTTTGCTGTGTAGCAGAATGGTTTATGCACACAATGTGAGTTTTAAAATGGTACGTGACATCTAATACCTAAATATTTGAAGACTCTTGGATAAGACCCAGTAATAATAATAATCCTTAAAGGACTAGCAGGCACTGAGCTAACATCCTTAACATGAATTGTTCCATTTAATTCTCACAAGAAGCCTTTGAGGTAAGTACTATTCTTGTTCCCACTTTACAAGTGGAGAAGCAGACATTAAAATTTAAGTAATTTGCTGAAAAATCACAGAGTTAGGAAGTGGTGGAGCTGGGATTCCAACCCATGACCATCAGAATTCAAAGCTCAAACTTACCACCTTAATGCTATGCTGCCCCCACAGTACATACATACCCAAAGTATTAGGGGCCCAGTTCCTTCTTTTGAATCAGAGAATATAAACTCTACACATACAGAGAGAAACAGGGTGTCCTCAGTGATCCATACAAATAATCGGGCCTTTTTTCCACACTTGAAAATAAGTAACCAAACTCCTCTCAAGAGGGGCCATGTTAACTCTACCCAATGGCCACGTCTGCACGTGGAAGGTTTCCTGTGTCTGGAGCTGGCTTTGCCCAGATTCTAAACCGCAGGGCACAGAGCATGCCTAAGCAGGATGGACAGCTGCACTTACAAGCGCGTCACAGGGAAGAAATGCTCCCCTTTCAAAACAAGCAGATACTTAGTGCTTCTTGTGCCACTCTATTTCCTCTGCCCTCTGCTAGAATGAGCATCACATTTATCATTATTTGGGGGCGATTTATGCAACATCATCAACAAAAGCATTCTAACGTTAGTTCTACTGTACAGAACCGTAAGAAAAGAGTTTTTGTCTTCTGAAATTACACACATTCCTGACCAAACATAAATTTACCTAACAGTATTCCTAATGTGGGGAACCTAGGTATGGAGTGCTTTCTCCTGAGTTGTGTTTCCCAAACGTGGAAGGCCTGGACGCCACATGCTGCCCTCTGGCTCCCGTTGGTGCTCGAAGTGTGCTAAGTTAAGGTCAGAATCTTGCTAGGCTCAGCCCACATCATTTGGATACACTTAGAGTCACGTCAGTTGCTGAAGAGACAGCCTTAGAAACGGATTAGACCTGCCTTCTATTATCTAGATTCTTTGGTAAAATTTCATTCTCACCTCTAGGAACAAAAAAGGTAGAGGAAGCCACCCACTTGTGGTATTTGTGGTCTAGTATCAGTAACTAAGAAAACTTCTGGTAAACTATCACCTACTACAGATGATTATAATCACATGGTAATGGATTTGGGTAATTGTGAATAAAACTTCCTTTAAGCAGTCTTCCAAAAAAAAAAAAAAAAAGGTAGAGGAAGAAAAAAATAAGCAAATAGGAAAAATCAAAGTATTACTCTTCAATCAAACCACCCATTATTTGATACAAAATTTCCTTGGATAGTCTTCCAGCCTCCCCACCATCCCAAACATACTAGAAAGTCAAAGGGACCAAAATAATCAAACCCAGTCATACTGAACTGAAGAGATCTCTGGCTTTTATAACAGAATAAAGACTGGTTTTCTTGGTAATAAAGTTCATTGTTAAGGTTGTACTACTCTAAAACTTCGCTGGCTTGTTAAAGTTAAATGACTTTACTAACTTAGACACGGGGTTAATAGAGAAGCAAGACACTCATACATACACATTATATTTCCCTTTCCAGTGTTTTCATTCTTTATGACTGAAAGTAAAACACAGTATTATCGCTAATGTGGGATGTTATTACAATAGTATAGTATTTTACCATTTTTCTTTGAATAAATGGTTTTAAAGGTCTGTAATGTTTTTAACTATGGTTTAACTTTTTTTCTCCTACTGTTTTTTAATTGAGGTAAAATATATACAATAAATTTTTTTTTGCCATTTTAACCATTTTAAGTGTACAATTAAGTGATATTATTTACATTCACCATGTTGTGCAACCATCACCACTATTTCCAAAAAATCTTCATCACCTGAAACAGAAATTCAGTGCCCCTTAAATAAGAAAGTGTGGCTTAGTTTTCACTGGAATCCATCTTAGTTTTCTGTGGCTGCCATAACAAATTACCTCAAACTGAGTTCTTTAAAGCAATACAAATTTATTAGGTTAGAAGTCTGACAAGGTTCTCAGTAGGGTAAAATCAAGGTATGGGTCAGTCTGCACTTCCTTCTGAAGGCTCTAGGGGAGAATTCCTTTCCTCATTTTCTTCACCTTCAAGAGGCTGCCTGGAGCCCTGGTGGCACAGTGGTTGAGCACTCAGCTGCTAACCGGAAGGTTGGCAGTTCAAACCCACCAGGTACTCTGCGGAAGAAAGATACGGCAGTCTGCTTCCATGGAGAATACAGCCTTGGAAACCTTATGGGGCAGTTCTACTCTGTCCTATAAGGTCACTATGAATCAGCGTTAATTTGACGGCAATGGGTTTGTTTTTTTGTTTTTTTGGAGGGGAGGGGTAGTTTAGAGGCTGCCTAGCACTCTCTCTGGGTGTCGTAGACATTCTGTACTCCATTACTAACCTAAAGGTTGGTGGTTTGAATCCACCCGTGGAAGAAAGGATTTACAGGAAATAATCTTACAGAAATCTTAATCTTCTGTAAGATTATAGTCATTGAAAACACTATGAAGCACAGTTCTACCTTGAAGCACATGGGGTCACCAGGAGTCGGAGTCAATCGACTATACAGCAACAGGTTTGGTTTTTGGTAGAGGCTGCCTGCATTCCTTGGCCCATGGCCCCCTTCCTCAGTTTTCAAAGCCAACAATGATGCGTTGAGTCCTTCTGACATCACATCACTCTGACCTCATCTTTCGCCTCCCAACTTCACGTTTAAGGACCTTGTGATTACATTGGGTCCCACTAGATAATCCGAAATAATCTTCCTATCTCAAAGTCCTTATCACATAATTACTTAATCACAACTGCAAAGTCCCTTTTACCCTGTAACTTAACATAGTCACAAGCTTTGGTAAATAGGACATGGGTATCTTTGGGGAGCCATTATTTTGCTTAACGCAGAATCCAAATGTTTTTTGGTAGACCAGTTGTCTATTTTTTGTAATCAAGGATAATCAAGGATTTCCTTATCAAGAATTTATTTTCTGCCAACTTTTGATAGGAGGAATCGGTTTTGTTAAGTGAAGATCATTCGTGATTTGAATTTTGAGTGGATATTTGTATTACACTCACCTTATTTATATCATTATCTGAAAATCCAGGTTTACTTTGTCCATTGAAAACTTGCTTGCATAAGGTGGGACAGTCACAGACTGTAGTGCGTCTAGCGGAGGGTGACCTAAAGGAAAGGGGGCCTGGGTTTCATCTTAGAAGACTGAACAAAGGAACTCCCTGAGGAGAAAATTCTAAACAAACTCAAAGTATCAACTGCTTTTGTTCCCTCTTTAGGACTAGAGAAAACATATTCTAAAGGAACAGAGATAAAAGAAAGAGAGCCTTTCTTTCCCTTTCTAGATAATCTAATTCCATTGGGTGGGTGTAGAGAAGGCACAAGAGCCACTTCCAGCTACAAAGAGTTGCTGTGAAAAAGCATTGCCTCAAATGGCCTGCCCAGAGTCAATGGTGAAAGTTCCTGAGAGGAACCGAAGAGATGTTTAGCCAGGAGCTTGATGTCATAAGTATTGTAGAAAGATTCCTCTTCAATAGGTAGGAGGCTTGTTTTACAATTCCAAAGGGTCTTTGCAGCTTGAAAACTCTCTGTTCTAAAGATTTCAGTGATTATTCTGTTTACTTTGTAAAAGAGTCAATTGTTTTATGTGAAAATCTCTTAGTCAGAATTCAAGTTGATAGAATTAACAGAGCAAATGATTTAGTTACCCAGGATACGGAGCCCTTGAGGCATAGTGGTTAAGAGCTACGGCTGTTAACCAAAAAGGTCAACAGTTCAAAACCACCAGTGCTCCCTGGAAACCCTATGGGGCCGTTCTGCTTTGGCCTATAAGACCGATATGAGTCGGAATCGACATGATATGAGTCGGAATCGACTCGTCGACAAATGGTTTGTTTGTGTTTTTGACCCAGGATACAGTAGCACAAACGGTCAAGCCCCCCCACTACGATCTAAAAGGTTGGCAGTTTAAACCCACTCAGAGATGCCCTGGAAGACAGGCCTGGCGATCTGCTTCCAAAGGGTCACGGCCATGAAAACTCTATGGTGCACAGTTTTACTCTGCAACACATGGGATCACTATAAGTCAGAATCGACTGGATTTGGTTTTGTTTTGGTTTGGCTTTTACCCAGAATACATTTTTAAAAGGGATAAAAGAGAGAACAAACAAACAGAAAAGGCACCAACTCTTGGCTGCATTCTCAAATGTGAATGTCCATAGTTTAACTTTATATCAAAATCCTACAAGCAAGTTTCATATTAGTTCAGAAATTGGGGATTAAAAGTTATTTAAATCACTATTTTGCTTTACTTTCAGTGATGCGTTTGACTTTGAGATTGGCGTGGTCATAGTCAGAATCAGCCAAGGGTTTGACATCTCTCAGGTTCTTCAGGTACAAGGTATGTACTTCTTTTACTCAACCAACAAATACTGACTGAGCACCTACTCTGTGGCTGAGATTGTTCTAGGTGCTGGACGTACAGCAGTGAGCTACAGACAACCCCCAGCAATGGCGCGTACATTCCAGTGCTGACCCTGGCGTGTGCACCCCCTGCCCCCCAGTGCTTTCCCCACAACCAACACAAATGTCCTCTATCCTGCTAACCAGAAATGTAGAGTAACTCAAGGTAGCCATCAATTATTTTTCTTATCACAAAAACACAAAGCCAGCATCACTGAAAATAAACACCTTCGGTAAAATAATCTGCCAAATTAATTCTTGCAAGAAGTTTCAGAAAATGAAGATTAATTTTTACCTCAGAAAAACCTGCACTTTGTTTTTTAGAGTCTGGGATCTGGTTTGTAGCTGACATGGAAATGAGCCTGAATGTCTCATGCTGTGAATCACTAATCTAAGCAGGAGGCAGAAACGTTAATTCAGATTAGTGACTCTGCTTCTTCCCAGCAGAGGGTTTGGTATACCTGTTTAGTCTTAGAATTTAAACATATTCTCTGTGTAGAAATAACGGCCACATCTAAAAAGTCACTGAAGACTAGGCTAGTACACCAAGCCATGACTTCTGTCCTCATCTAAACTTTACAACAGGGCCAAAGAAATGCGAATTCCACTGAAGACATAACACTGAGATTGATTTCTGTGTTGATTTCTTTATTCTGACAGATATTTTTTGGGGTGCCTACTATGTATCAGTCAGCTCTGGTGGTGCAGTGGTTAAACTCCCAGCTGCTAACCAAAAGGTCGGCAGTTTGAACCCACTAGCAGCTCCACAGAAGACCTGGTGATTTGCTCCCATAAAGATTACAGCCTAGGAAACCCTATGGGGCAGGTCTGCTCTGTCCTTTCTATGAGCTGCAATCAACTCCGTGGCACACAACAACAACTGTGTATCAAAGGAGCTCTGGTGACTCAATGGTTAAACGCTAGGCTGCTAGCCGAAAGGTGGATGGTTCGAACCCATCCAGCAGCTTCATGGGAAAAAGAACTGGCAATCTGCTCCCATAAAGATTATAGCCTAGAAAATTCTATGAGGCAGTTCTCCTCTGTCACATGGGATTGCTATGAGCTGAAAATCAACTCAACGGTACCTAACAACAACAACAGGTGCTGGGCAGACTACGCTTAAAGAGTCTATCTGTACCTTCAAGGTACTCAGAGCCTGGTAAGGAAAATGGATATATCATTAGCGTGATAATAGGTACAGGTAGGGTATTATGGGAAAGAGAGAAGAGGAACTTAACTCCAAGAGGGCTTCCTGGCAGAAATTACCCTTGAATTGCGTTTAGTGGATAAGTAGGGGTTAAGTAGGTTTTTACATTTCCTAGGTCTGCTGTAACAAATTACCACACACTGGGTGGCTGAAAACCGTGGAAATTTATTCTCTCGCACTTCTGGGGGCCAAAAGTCTGAATTCACGGTTTCAGCAGGTCCATCCTCTCTCTGATGGCTCTAGCGGAAGATCTTTTTTTGTCTTTTCCAATTTCTGGTAGAACCAGGCATTCCTTGGTTTGTGGCAGTATAACTCCAATTGCTGCCTCTGTCTTTATATGGCCAGCTTCCCTCTGTATCTGTCTGTCTGTGTCTCTTCTCTTTTTATAAGGACACCAGTCATACGGGATTAGGGCCACCATACTCCAGTATGAACTGATACTAATTTAACGAATTATATCTGCAAAGACCCTATTTCCAAATATGGTCACATTCCAAGGTACTAGGAATTAGGACTTTAACATATCTTTTTGGGAGACATAATTCAACTGTAACACTAAGCAATGTTAGGGGAGAGAAAAAGGAGGTGGGAGTGTGGGGAATGGCATTCCTGGCAAAGAGGAGAGCATTAACAAAGGCTTGAAGATATGGAAGCATGGAGAAAGGGGTATATGGGCAACCGAAAGCAGATTAGTGTCATCGAAATGAAATGTAGGAAGCAGAGAATAGCGAAATACAAGATTGCCGATATAAGGAGGAGCCAGATTACAATCGTCTCTTTTGCCATATTAAAAAGCTTGGACCATATTCTGTAGACAATGAGGAACCACTGAAGGGATTTAAGTGCAGGAGAAAGTGGTCAAATCTGGGTTTCAGATCACATACTCTTTCAGTTCTATTGGGCGTGGTCTCAAAAAGATCTAGAATGGAAACACGGAGACAAGTCAAAAGATTGTTACAATAATCAAAGCAAGAGAAGGTGCCAGCCTGAACTGGGGCTATCTCAGTAGGAATGGAGAGAAAAGGACAGAATTTGGAAGTACTTAGGAGGTACAAAGGGCAGCATTTGGGGGCTGATTGGATGTGCGGGATAAGGGAGAGGGAGGAGTGAAGAAAGATTGTTTGGCTGATTAGATGAATGGTAGAACCACCAATGGAAATAGGAAATGCAAGAGGAAGAGTAGGTTTAATAAGGAGAAGCCTGGCTCAATTAAAAAAAAAAAAAACTCTGGTGGGAAATCTTACTGGAGATGACCAATAGGTGGTTAGATATTGAGTCTTAGTCTTAAAGGAGAAGTCTGAGTTGGAGATATGTATTTAGGAGACATCATAATTAAAGTGAAAATTGAAACTGTGGCACTTGACAAAATAACCTAAAGAACATATACAGTCGTGAGTCCAAAGCACAGGAGAAGGACCTCAAAGAAGAGGGAGCAAAGGAGTTGTCAGAAAGGTAAGGAAACCAGGAGTCTATGGTGTCATGGAAACCATGAGAGCAGAGTGCTCAAAATGGGAACAATAACCAACATTGTCAATAACAGCAGAAAATTTCAGTAAAGTAATAAATGAAATGTTCCTTGGAATTGATCACTGACATCACACAAATAATCTTAGAGCAATTTCTGTTAGAGCAGTGTTGACAGAATCCAGATTGCAGTGGGTTGAGGAGAGAATATGAGCCAATGAATCAGAGAATATAAATGTCACCAACCACTTTGAGGAGTCTGGATCCTACAGAGAGGAATGAGATTGAGATTTACTACAGGACACCTATAGACTTTAGAATGGGAGACACAGATATATTTCCAGACTGAGGAAATGAGCTTGACCAAGTGGGAGAGACTGAAGATGCAGGCAAAGAAATGGGTGGCCCACAGAGTAAGATCCTTGAGGAACAAGGAGTAATCAAGGGAAGGGTGTGGCTAGCCTGAAAGAGAAGAAAAGCACTTCATCTTCTAAAACTGATGCAAAGGAGGTGAGTATTGGTGATGCTATACATGGATTTGTAAGAGTAGGGTAGTCAGTTGAGGAAGATCATGCAAAATAGTCTAAGTTCTCTCTTTGAATTTGGAGCAATGGTTTATCTCTAAAAGCAAGAGAGACATGGTTTAATTGAGGATGAGAAGGCACTAATGAGAGTTAAAAACAGGCATGATGGGACATGAAAATTAACCAACTGATCAGCATACAACACTTATGGTTGTCCAGTTTTCTCCAGCAGCATTTGGCCACCCGTAAGGGAAGAAGGGGATCAGTGCTTCACTGGGGGGATTCAGGAGAAAGAAGTGTATAAAGGATTGGAGAGTGCTGGTGCTGGGGAGGGGGGGGGATCCAGCTTCCATTTGGCTCTTTCGTGATTGTATCCACCATAACAGAGGGAATATGAGTGAATTAGGTTAATTTTTTGATGCAGCCATTCTGGTGGATTTTGGAGGAGGTAGAAAAAGAAGAAGCTAGAGGTCGAGAATTTGTACAGGACAGAGAGCCCCTATTTGATTTTGTATACTCTATGGTTATGTATGAAGAGCTTTAAAAAATAAAACTGGGAGTAAACTCCACCCTGTCCAAAATTGTTGCATAAAGGGTATCTTTGGTGCCTCCAGCTTCCCTTTCCTAGGCCCCTTTTCTCTTTCATGTAGCTTTTACAGCTCCAGATCAGGTAAACTAATTCCCACTCATTATTCATGATTAATTTTTTATTTCCTCCTAGTAGAACTTAATCAATTTATAATAAAACCTAACATTCTTGAGCATTTATGTGCCAAGTATTATGCTTCATGTTCACGTACAATATACCATTTTTCTTCCCAACTACCCTATGAGGAAAGACCATTATTATCCCCATTTTACAGCTGACAAAACTGAGGTTTACCCAAGACTTGCAAGCTAGTTAGTAATTGGTAGAGCTGGAATTCAAACCTATTTCTCTTTGGTTATTGTTTGGTTTTGTGCTTTAGGTGAAAGTTTACAGAGCAAATTAGTTTCTCATTAAACAGTTAACACACGAACTATTTCGTGACATTGGTTGCCAACCCCGCAATGTGTCAACACTCTCCCCTCCTCCACCCCGGGTTCCCTGTTTCCATTCATCCAGTTTTCCTGTCCTTTTCTGCCTTCTCATCTTCGCTTTTGCGTTGGTGTGCCCATTCGTCTCGTATACAATGTATTTTCCTCACGTGTGTAATTGTTGGCCCTATGGACCTGTCTAATCTTTGGCTGAAGGGTGAACCTCAGAAGTGACTTCAGTACTGAATTAAAAGGGTGTCTGGGGGCCATACTCTCAGGGTTTCTGCGGTCTCTGTCAGACCAGCAAGCCTGGTCTTTGTGTGTGTGAATTTGAGTTTTGTTCTACATTTTTCTTCTGCTCTGTCTAGGACCCTCTATTGTGATCCCTGCCAGAGCAGTCGGTGGTGGTAACCGGGCACCATCTAGTTGTTCTGGGCTCAGTCTGGTGGAAGTTGTGGTAGTTGTGGTCAATTATCTTTTCCTTGTGTCTTTGATTTTCTTCATTCTCCTTTGCTCCTGCCAGGATGGGCCAGTAGATGTATCTTAGATGGCCGCTCAAAGGCTTTTAAGATTCCAGATGCTACTCACCACAGTCGGATGTAGAACATTTTCTTTATACAGTATGTTATGCCAATTGAGCTAGATGTCCCCCTAGACCACGGTCCCCAGCCCTAGGCCCAGTGGCCTGTTCCCTCAGGGCATTTGGGTGTGTCTGTGAAGCTTCTA